GGCGGGTGTCCCCGCCTGTGTGTGTAGCCGGTTTGTCGTTGCCCTGCGGCGCGGTGGAGTAACACAGCTGGAGCAAGCAAGGGGGCGCTTGGGATGCTCCCTGATTAATAGCAGAGGGTCCGGGCCGTGACCGCAGGCTCGGCATGTGCTGGAGCCGCGCTGCACTTTCCCAGCCCCCCTGCCAGGATGAGGGGGGTCGGAGGGAGGGAGGGAGGGAGGGAGGCAGGCGGCGAACGGGACGGGGCCGTCGGCATCCAGCAGCAAACAAGCGCTCCGGAGCCGCGGCTTCCTGGAAAGGCAGCCCGGCTGGGTGACGGGCAGCGGCGATAAGCGGCGGCTATCGGGGCCCTCCCGGCGGGCCCGGCCTTTCCGCGCCGCCGGCAGCCGCGGGGAGAGGTGCGGAGCCGTTCTCCGCGCCCCGCCGCCCAGAGGGCAGGTAGGAAACACCTGGCCGCGGAGGAGAGCGGAGCCGATCCCGTCGGGGAACGGTCCCGGGGGGGTGGAAGGCAGGGTGCCGGCTCCGGACGGGGAGAGGAGGCGTCCCGCCGAGCCCCCCGCCCTGCCCGGCGGCGGGAGGTACCGGGCAGGGACGCGTCGGTAACGGCGCTTCGGGCAGCCGGCAGAGAGAGGGGATCCGAGACGCGGGGGGCAACGGGGAGGCAACGGCACCGCATCGGTAGGTGAGAGCTGCAGCGCCCCGGGAGGGGGTGCGTGTCACCTATGGGGGGTGCGTGTCACCTACAGGGGGGGCAGGCTCCTCAGCAGTCTGCAGGCATCTGTGAGAAGGCAAGCTTCGAGGGATGCTGCTGTTCCTACAGGGGCTGCACCGCCGCAAAGAGGTGCGATAGCTTTTTATCCAGGGGTAAGCACATTCACCCCAGCAAACACCCGGGAAACCCCTGGGAGGAGGTGAATGCCTGGGCTGGAGCAGGTGGAAAAGTCAGAGGAGCAGGACAATGTTGATGCCATCCTGTAGGGTTTGCGTTGTGGAGGTGTCATTGGATAGGCTGGTTATATTTTAGTTAACTCTTTTTGTCTGTGCAAAGATGACTTTTTATTTGCCTCATAAATATGAATTGAGGTTTTGGGTCACAGCCCAGTTACATTTTGCTTCAGACAGAGTTTAATTTCCCCTTTTAAAAAGTGTTTTAAATAAGTTGGGCCATATGGAAATTGAGTTGTTCATCAACCAAAGAAACTTGAGGGAATTTGAAAAATAAGATTACATATTTCTTGAGCCATTTCTTGAGTATTGAACCAGAGTCAGACTACAGTACTCAAAACTCCTGATTCAGTCATTTCCTTTGTTAGGATCAAGACTTAATCCGTCTCTACCTGTGTTTTCACAGCTGTAAAATGGGAGCTACACCTATTAATGAGGGGCATTACATATTCTTTTTGGAAAAACATAATTAAAAAACAAACAAAAACAAAAAAAACCCCAACAAAACAGAGGAAGATCATTTGTAAGGGTAGTAAACAATGCAAAATGTGTCTGAGGAAACAGTTCATGTTGAATGTTTAAGAGAGAGATACATCTGAGAAAGATGTGGTGTCTAAAGGAACATGCATATCAGAAACGTCTCTGTTGTATAAAGTTCTTGTGCAGTTGATCACTTACATTCTGCTGCTCTGAATTCTGCAGAGTGGATGACATAAGCACCACATGTAGTAGTGCAGGAAAAGCTGCACAAAACCTGCCAAAATGGGACGGAGCTGTTATAGAATGTCAGGCCAAGCCCACTTTATGCCCCAGGACTAAAGAGAAACTTGTATGAGATCCAACACATGCGATACAGTAGTGAACAACTGGGTTGGTAAAATTTTCCTCTGATTAGAGTCTGGATACTGTTAGAGGAATTAAAGGGCTTCTCCGAGGTGACAGCTCCTCTGTCCCTATCTAGTGCTCAGTTCTCGAGTCGGTCAGTAACTGCAGAGAAGCAGTGGTATTTCTGTTAACAGCATGGAGCCAAGAATGGAGAAATATAGGCCAAACAGTGAGTTATGTAATGGTATTCCCTAAGGGGTAGTATAAAGATGTGATGTTTTCCTTCTGTCAAGACAAAGAGCAGCCGTACAGTTGCTCTACAATGTTCATTCTTAGGAGCAATCCAGGCAGGGAGCTGGGACCCTGTAATAGTAGATCCACCAATATCACTTTATTCCCTTCTACAGCTAATTCCCTTACAAATATTCCTTTGCAATATCCTCATAAAGAACCTAAGAAGTGGAATAGAGCCATTATGGCTGGAAAGGGAAGCCAGACTCAGCCTACGGGGAGGGGAAAGTTATGATTTTAATGTGTGTTTCTCAGGGGTTTGAGGAGTGATAATGTGGAGTTACAGCACGCCAGGACAAAACTGAGGTTCTGTGTGTAGAAAGTTATACAAGATAAAGCAAGGGAGTGAGAACTGTCTCAGAAGGTTGGTTAATTATGCCATTTGAATGGAATAAATAGAAAGGCTAGATTAGAAGTGAAGGAGATAATTAATGTAAAATAGTAAAATAATAATTATAATGTATAATAATAAAATTAATGTAAAATAGGTTTAATATTAGTTAAATATACACGCTTGGTCTTAGCCAAAAGGCTGAGAAAAATGGAACAGACAGACTTGAATTATCCAGACTGTTATTGGCCAAAACTGGATTTGGAAGGTGTTATTATAATTAATAAAGTTATTATTGTCTGTTATACAGACAGCAAGTCTTGCAAAGGACATCAGCTGGCCTTTAATGACTAGAGGTGCTCAGGGTCCTGGGTTTAATTCTGATTGTAAGGTGGCACCTCCAGCAGTACAAGAGGGGCATACACATTTCTGAAATAATGTTTTTTATCCACTTTTAAAAATTTTTCCATTTCTGTTGCCAGTTTATTCTCCCTGAGCACAGATTGCTTTAAACCAGTATGTCTTCAAAGAGAGAATGTCTGAAAGCCATAATTTTTATTCAATTCAACTTTTTAGGGAAAAAACTTGGTTCTCAGCCAATCAATGCATTTAATCATTAGTAATTTAGAGGATCAGAACACGAAGATGATCTTGTCTTCTTTGTCACTAATACAGAAAATACTGTATTTCTAAGTGTAGTTAGCAAACTGATTTGTATGTAACTGATCTAGATTTGAATTTAGCTGTTTCAAATTAAATAATAAAATTTATTTTATGGGGAACTTAAAGTGCAATTATTATTGGAAAAGTAACTGTGTCAGTGATATTTTGTTATTCATCAGATATGTTCTTTCCATGAATTAATTCCTGATCTGCTTGATGGAGTAGCAAAAATCCACTTTCATTATTTTGTTAACTCTTGCTACTCCAGGCTGAGTTAAATGAACGCAGTAGCCCTTGCAAATTGCTCTGGCCCTTGTATCACGAATTAAGATCCAAGGCTGTGTTTGTATCTTGAGGTGTCAATCTCAGTTGCACTGTAAAATATTCGTAATAACTTGCTTTGTATTATAGTCATATAGTGTGACTTGAAGGTTTCAGACTGCCTTGTCAGGATTATTAGTGATTAAAAAAACTCTTCACTTGTTAACTTAGCAACCTGAATTGGGGCTGTGAGCTTTTATTCTTGTTTGTCTTTCCTTTCTCTACAACTAAATTGTTCAGAGTACAAATTCTGAGAATGCTGCCATGCTCAAGTGGGGATGTCCAAGACTTACATTAAGTGTCAATAGGTTCTTATAATTTCAAGTAAGTCCAGTAAAATCTATTGGTCCTCAAGGGCCCAGAGAGCCACGGGCTGCACATTTTGGTGTGGGCAACTAATAGACAGGGCATCTGAATTTAACAGACACTTCAGACATTTTGGCCTTGTGTGCTCCTGATGTATTTCATCTGCAACGTGATGAAATGTTTGTGTAGTACCAGGGAGATGATAAGAAATCAATGTCAATCTTTCTGCATTATGTAGGAAGAGTTATGATTAGGGAATGAACCTTGTTGCTCTTAACAGAATACTTTCCACTGATTTCATATGGTAGGACCAGTGGTAACAAAGCACTCGTCATTTTGTTTAAAAAAAGCTGGCTCCTAGAGCGTGTGCTCACTGCAAGAGTTTTCTCTAAGCATCGTAGAAACATTTTTAAACTTGTAATTTTCAGCTATGCATGAGTATCAGTAGGTAATACTCTCTGCGCCCATAAAGGCGAAAAGGGTTATCTGATTACATGTGTTTGCAGATCTCTCTCTGCTTCACATACTTGCAGACCAGAACAACAACATAACTTTCTTCTTTCAGGATAGTTAATGTTCTGGCCCAGAATTATAGCACCAGATGTGTTGCCACAGAAACAATTTAAAGGGAGAAGGAATTGCAAGCAAATTGTCTTTCTAGTGGAAAATGTAAAAGCAGTATTCATGTTTTAGAGCCTCTCATTGGTTTTCGATGTGTTATACGTGCTCACAGGAGAGAATAAGGGAGAAATTTGCTTTTTTGTTTCATACATCTGTTAGCGTTTTAAAATTCTCTGCACAGGGTTGAAAATTGGAAAATATTCTATTATGGGCACAAGTTACGTACCTCGGAGACATTTCTTATTAAATCCTGACTCATTTTTAGAAACTTTTTCCTTGAAAAGTGTGCAGTGTGCTAGCTGATTTACTTAGCTCCACTTGCAACATGCTTTGGAAAATATTTCCAGTAACAGTTGTTTTTGTGAAAGTAAGGAAACATTTGACTATATAAAATTATCCCAGATTTTGATGCTGAGAATTAATAGCACATTCTTTGACATGCTGATGAAAAGAGGGAATGTATATAGGAAATATTTTGATTTAATCTTGCCTTGGAAGCCTTAAAGAGCCAAAGCCCTTGATTTTAGTTTGCATTTCTTTTTCTCAGAATATTTACCACAGAATATTCAATTCAGCATATCCTTCTCTCAACTATTATGAAAATATTTGTCTGAATAAAATGGAATATGAATTACCCTTTTCACTATTTTGACCACAGAAGGGCATCTTTCTTCTATAGTTTTGCATTGTGTTTGGGGTAGAATAATGAGAAAAGCATCCAGGAAGACCACAACTGCAGCTCAACAGATTGGCACATCTATTAATTGTGTCATAAACTCTCCACATGTGGATACACCTAACATTTGAAAAATGAGGTTTTTCTTGTGGAATTTTTGCTGTTTTTTGATCAAATTCATTTAAACTAAAAAAACGCTGATGGAATTATATCTGAATTAGGATTTCTATTTTATCATAGACATATAAAATACACCATCTGTAACTAACGTTGGTGAGCATTTCTTGTATAAACGTGACTGAAAAATCTGGGAAAATTTAAAAAAGGCTGAGATCGCCACATAAAGAGAACTTGTTTCCACAGATCTTTGTCATTCATGCATTTGGAAGGTCTTTCTCCCTGCAAATTTTGAAGTAGTGCTGGCTGGGTTGCTGAAGAAAATGTAATTGCATGTATCTTATCAAAAGCCAGGGTGAAGTTCGTGTCTCTTTGGAGTGATGGAAAAATGTTACCATGTGCATCTGTAGGCATAATGCTCCCCTGTCATTCTGGGGGATAATGGCCGTACAATGTTTGTCTGAGAAGCCTTCTTTTATTGTTTGTTTATGTGGTATTTTCCCTCAGTGAAATTTTTTTTTTTTAAATATTTTTTTTTCATATAGCCATAATTTTAAATGCCCCTCAGTTTGGAAATATAGAATTT